GGCACAAAAGAAAGCTATTCCACTGCATGGAAAAGATAGAAAGTATGACAAAAGACCACATTGCCTTAACCAGGCGATCTTGCATGATATAAAAATAAAAAAGGAGTCATATAAATTATTGCAGGGGCAAGATTAGAAAGGCAAAGGCACAAAATGAGCTCAAACTAGCTACAGATATAAAGGGTAACAAGACTTTCTATAAATATATTAGAAGCAAAAGGAATACCAAGGACAAGGTAGGCCCATTGCTCAATGAGGAGGGAGAAACAGTAACCGGAAATTTGGAAATGGCAGAGGTGCTTAATGATTTCTTTGTTTGACTTCACCAAGAAGTCTGATGATAAAGGAATGCCTAATATAGAGAATACTACTGAGAATGGGGTAAGTTTACAAGACAAAATAAAAGAAGTAGTTAAAAATCACTTAGAAAAGTTAGATGTCTGGAAGTCATCAGGGCCTGATGAAATGCATCCTAGAATTCTCAAGGAGCTGATAGAGGAGGTATCTGAGCCTTTAGTGATCATCTCTGAAAAATCATGAAAGATGGGAGAGATTCCAGAAAACTTGAAAGGGGAAAATATAGTGCCCATCTATAAAAAGGGAAATAAGAACATACCAGGAAACTACAGACCAGTCAGTTTAACTTGTGCCAGAAAAGATAATGGAGCAAGTAACTAAGGAATTCATCTGCAAACACCTGGAAAGTAATAAGATGATAGGTAACAGCTAGCATAGATTTGTAAAGAACAAATCATGCCAAACCAATCTGATAGCTTTCTTTGATAGGATAACAAATCTTCTGGATAATAGAGAAGTGGTAGATGTGATATACCTAGACTTTAGTAAGGCATTTGATACGGTCCCACATGATATTTTATCAATAAAGTAGGCAAATATAACCTAGATGGGGTTACTATAAGGCAGGTGCACAACTGACAGGATAACCATTCTCAGAGAGTAGTTATTAATGGTTCACAATCCTGCTAGAAGGGCAGAACAAGTGGGGTTGCCCAGGGTTCTGTTCTGTTCAATATCTTCATCAACGATTTAGATACTGGCATAGAGGGTACGCTTATTAAGTTTGCAGAGGATACGAAGCTGGGAGGATTGCATCTACTTTGGAGGATGGGGTATAATTCAAAATGATCTATTCAAATTGGAGAAATGGTCTGAGGTAAATAGGATGAATTTTAATAAGGACAAATGCAAAATGCTCCACTTAGGAAGGAACAATCAGTTACACACATACAGAATGGGAAGCGACTATCTAGGAAGGAGTACTGCCGAAACGGATCTAGGGGTCATAGTGGACCACAAAGTAAATATGAACCAACATAGTGACGTTGTTGCAAAAAAAGCAAATATGATTCTGGGATGCATTAACAGGTGTGTTGTGAGCAAGACAAGAGAAGTCATTCTTCCTTTCTACTCTGCGCTAATTAGGCCTCAGTTGGAGTACTGTGTCCAGTTCTGGGCACCACATTTCAAAAAAAGATGTGGAGAAGTTGGCAAGAGTCCAGAGAAGAGCAACAAGAATGATTAAAGTTCTAGAGAACATGACCTATGAAGGAAGACTGAAAGAATTGGTCTTGTTTAGTTTGGAAAGGAGAAGACTGAGAGGGGGCATGACAGCAGTTTTCAAGTATCTAAAAGCGCATCACATGGAGTAGGGAGAAAAATTGTTCTTCTTGGCCTCTGAGGATAGGACAGGAAGCAATGGGCTTAAACTGCCGCACGGGAGATTTAGATTGGACATTAGGAAAAACTTCCTAACGGTCAGGGTGGTTAAACACTGGAGTAAATTGCCTAGGGAGGCTGTGGAATCTCCATCTCTGGAGATATTTGAGAGCAGATTAGATAGACATCTATCAGGGATGGTCTAGACGGTATTGGATCCTGCCATGAGGGCCGGGCACTGGACTCGATGACCTTTCAAGGTCCCTTCCAGTTCTAGTGTTCTATGATTGATCACACCAGTTAGCCTTGGGCATGCCGGTGAAACGTTTGAAGGAGCAGTTGAAAAAGAACAGGGATTAGTGCTACCTTCAATTTCTCATGGTTTTCCACTTCCTTCTAGTGTTCCATGACTTTCTGAAAGTAATGGCTAATGGTGGCGTAAGTTTAATTCCCTCAACACTCTGACACACATCACCTGGCTCATCATACACAATGGTTATTTGCATAAAATTTCCGAATCCCCTCCCCACTAGCTACAGCTTTGGCTGTAGAGGTTAGACCGTTCACTGTATTGAACAGAAGTGATTTACGCAGGGCGAGCGGATCACCCTAAGAAAGAAGGTGACCTGCAAGGATTCTGTGTGGTTTGCACAGAAAAATCCATGAAGCAACAAATAAATAGGAGCAAAGAGAAACAAAAGACCCGACATGCACACAACGTGACTGTTCAAAATGGATTACCGTTTGCACACCCCATCTTTGTGCTGCACGCAGAACGGGTTCGAAATGTGACTACCCAGGGCCCATTGAAACCAAGAGAGAGCCAGGTCCATCCCCCTTCGTGTGAATGAAACAACTACACTCAGCTGCTTTCCCTTCAGCACCAACCCAGGCACAAAACA